GCTACCTAAATCTTAATATTTTCTCACCTAGGTTTCCTTCGTGTCTTCTAGAAATACATCTTATTAGTATTTTGTCCATTAAATATAGATGAGATAGTATAAATGGGCCAACTTAAATAATAATCCTTGACAGATATGAATATTCATACCCTTATTATTAGTAAACCATCATCTTTTTCTCGTAAAGGCATGCATCACAGGAATACTCTTATACCTTTATGGGGCTACATGATAATAATAGTCATAATTCTCATTTATAACTACGTTATTTCGAATTAACTGCCTAAATTTACCAGAAATCGGGGGTAATTAAGCAAAACACCATGCATTGTTAAAGGGATGCGGCTTTTAATATTTGTGACACGGAACAACAATATCTGTCCGTGAAGAAATGGTTTATGCCCAATTTCAACTTCAAACTCGTAAAGTGACTGTAAAATGTTACTTTGAAGGGTGGTCATTAAAATGTTATTGCCGACCCAACGAACCGAAGCTTTATACCTTTTTATGGGCTTATAACTTCTGGGACTCATGGTTCATAATATATACAGGATGTTATTTTCCGAAAACAATATGATGGAAAGATTTTTCATGATATCTTTGGTGTTTATTTGCCAGAAATGTTTTCAATTTGGGTCATGATCTATCTTTTTTAGTAATATATCTTTGATTATAGAATACTACAATTGCAAAAACTTGCACAGTGGTGTCAGTAAATGGTTCACATGACAAATTGTATTTAGAAGATACCTAGGTATATATTATTTGAATAAGTAAAATTTTAGTAGCTCAGGGTGGTCAAAAATGTGAATTCTGAACCACCCTGTATTTATTTCAATTAAATATCAATTGATATTACATGAAAAGTTGATATGGGGACATGAAAACCGTTTTAAACAATTATGCATAGTTTCGACACAAAAAATTCTTAATGTTGAAACATTTCGATTTTTCACACCCTATACCTTTGTTATCATTCCCGCTAGACCGCAAGTGTGATAGATCGATGAAATCAGCTCTTCAGGGAAAATCTGAAAATGGAATGATATACAGGCTGTTCCATTGAAAAAATCAAAGTTCTTGCTACTTTTCAATATGAGCGGCAACGTCGCAACGCTGAGAATATTTTAGATCGATAGAACACAACTGATGATTATCCTAGGCATCAACTTTTCAGAATAATTCTGAGTTGCGTTCTCTGGAAACGTCTAATGTGCTATCCAACGTGAATCACCCTGTATATCGGCGTCAATTGAAAAAATCCGCCATTAAACGTTGAGGAAGGACAATATTCTTCCTGCATGAGTGCATAAGGGTATGTGAATATTTAATAAGTCCGGCACTGGAGACGCCCTATATCTCCTCTTATACATATATTATAAAACTCCATCTATTATAACAGCCAATGTGACGAACATATTATATGAAGAATTAACAGGATTGAAAATAAAAAAAAATTGGCATAGCATCAAGCTGGTTTACTACCAATAATAATTACATAGGTATATCCACTACCAAAGGAACATAATAACACCGAGAAATGGCGAATATCGACGCGAGTTCCATGCAACCAATGAGAGCGCGGTGTCTTTATTGATCGTCGGGACGCCATGTCGAAAGTTTCGTCCGCGACGTCCACTGATACAGCCTTCGCAAAAGTTTCATCCTACCTCGACACAACATTACTCCAGCTATTTGAATAGCATATTTGAATAGATATATTTATGTTACTACAATAGTGTTTATACATACGTCAATAAATAAATTAAATGAAATGAATATAATGAGACATAAATACATACAACAATGAAAGAACGACAAAATAGTTTGAAGTTCAGTTTCGACGTGAGAAAAATACTAGATATTCATCAAATGGTGTAAAAACTTTCTCCAATTAGCATATTTTTGACTCGATTCTTGAATTTCTGTAAACTCGTAGATCGACCTCTGATGAGTTCGTCTGGAAGAACATTGAAAAATTTCATGGCGAGATGTTTGAATGGAGACTCGAATAGAGATTTGGTTTCTGAAACTCTTGGTTTCGGTAATCTTATATTCATCTTTCCTCTTGTGTTATATCTATGTATATCTTCATTTCTAGTTATTTCAGAACGAGTATCAGAAATTCCTTTCTTTATGTGAATGAGACATTCGTATACGAAGCATGAGGCTAGTGTTAAAACTTTGAATTGTTTAATGGTTTGCAATGTTCTGTATAACTTACTCCTGTCATTATATTGAGAAATGAGATATTCATCAGTCAGTTTACCCTTCAGCTGTCTCAATATATAGGTTGATGTTGCTAAACGCTCACATAATTGATCAATGTGAAGCGAAAAATTCAGACCTGCATCTAGATGTACTCCAAGCAATTTAACCACGTTTCCGTCTGAACCATTGTTCAACTTGAAATTCAGAACTTGAGTCTTTCCATTATTTGAGATAATCACTCTCATTCCAAATTCGCATCATTTGTTCAGTGTTGGATATTTTGTCATCGAGGGTTTTTTCATATTGATCACAGTGAATTATGGACACGTCATCAGCATACCCAATAGGATGTATACCTTCACTAAAATAAAATAAGTTGAACATCAAATCATTGACATAGATAATGAAGAGTACAGGTCTTTAAACTGATCCCTGAGGTACTCCGTGCTCTGTTGTTACAAAGTCAGATACACGGTCTTGTCATTTGACTTTAGCTTCTTTATCCGTGAGATGAGACTTGAAAAAGTTCATCTGCTTGCCTCTAGTCCCATGATGCTCGAGTTTTTTATCAAGATATTGTGATTAACAGTGTCGAAAGCGCGAGAAACGTCTTAAAATTCTGCGGTACAGCGTGTTTGATTTCCAAAAGCTTCTAATATATTTTCACAGGCGTTGCATAGTGCAGTAATAGTCGATCTGACAGACCTATAGATATGTTGAAATTCTATTAGAAAATTTTATGATTCAAAATATGAACCATATCGGCGTTCTGAAAACACATCACTTGAAGAGGTGATACGGCTCGTTAGATTCTCAAAAAATATGTTTTGTTATTGATTATTATCAAAATGTCCTTCTCTTCTTCGAATCACCTCATGTTGCTTGTTCGAATGAGGGATTTGTATTTCGATAATTATCAATACACTTGTTGTATCACATATAAGAAAACACAACTTTTGGAATTGCATTAGAATTTTCAAAAAGGATTTTATACGGGGTGTTCCACGACGATAAAGACAGAGCACAACTGTGTGGACTCGAGAGTAGTAGAGAATTGTTATTTTGGAGTTGTGAACTGAAACAATTGGTGGTAGTTTTTTTTCTGATATTCTCTTTGTTTGTTTGTGTTTAACCACGTGACTTCCGGATGAAATTGTATACCTGTATATTTTTGGATTTTTATATTGCTTCCGGCGTTGGAACGTTTTCAACAAACTATCACATCTTGGTCTGAACTATCAATTTGAGAACTACAGGTACTTCAATATTCTTTGTCTCAAGACGATTACAACAAACGTCTGAAACGGGCAATTTACCAAACTATTCAAGTTCAGGATCACCCCGTAGATTTAATCAACCATATTTTATCGAAAGAACGTAGTCATAAAACTTTGAGCAAAGGATATTATACCTGTACAGTTCTTAAATTATTAGTTTTAGACCACAAGCAGGATGCCACAAATGTGCTATAGTTTAATGGAATGATTTCATCTGCCGGAACAAAGAAAATTCAAAATATACAATTCGTCTCGTTAAAAATTTTGAATTTGATGTCACGTTATAGAAAACGAAAGGCTCTTGCATTAAGTGATATAGTACCTATTAAAAAGGTTGCAATTTCTCCAATTTACAACCCCAAAATTTCAATTTTAAAGTACTCTCGAGTTCCCAGATATTGCCAGTAATAATCGTCGTGGGACACCCATATACGGACTGATTTTGTCTTGAAGACGCATAAATAACATGTTCACTTATATTATGGGCCTCACAGGGCCCGAGTTGGGGCCTCAGAACTTTTTTCCAACTTTTTTCGATGTCAGGAACCTTTCGATCGATAAGTCTTCGTATCAACTATGTATACCGGAAATCCCAGTCACTTCAAAATACACCAATTTAAAACATCCATGTTCTGATAAAGATGGAATTACCTTCAATATGTGCTAACAATCGGAAATCACTTCTGGCTTAACCGAAATATACAATATTCAATGAAATACCTCCCGAGAGTCTCATTATATTATTGAAACAACGCTATTATCCATTTTCATGTTCAGGTCTGAACATTCAGTGCCTGACTTTCGCCTAGTATTTTGATTTTATAAATTTTGAAAAAAAAAACTGAAAAATGAGATTCATAAGTACCTATCCAGATTTCTAGATTTTTATCTCTTCGTTTCAGATGATTTGCCCCAAAATGTCACTGCGTGTAAAGAATTTTCTGATCGGAGAGCCTGGACAACATATGGTAGAGTGCGGAATAATATTGGAAATATGGAAGAGAAGATTACAACCAAAACAGAAAAATCAAGGAATCTGCTTGCATTCTTCTGAACGGAGACAATAGCATTGATTCCTGTTCAGTTTATACAGAAAGAACATGGTATTCACTACTGGAATCTGAAAAAGACAATGGTGAATTCAAGAATTATTAATGAAAACATCATGTAACTCATTTGATTGTCAGCGTCACCAATTGTTACTGAGAACTGAAGTGTCAAGACAAATACGACTTTGCCAATCGAATATCCATTTTTTATCTTCCCGTTCCCGAAACATCCAAAGCTAAGTGAAAATTTGATATTTTTTCTACATACCTTCATTTCTCTTCTGCAAACCTTTTTCAATACAAATTGTCACTGACAAGCTAGTGAAATCTTGGGTCAAATCATCTGATTTGTCCTTACTACACGAATATTGAAATAATATTCATATTTTTATTTTAAAGAAACGAGGAGAGAAAATCCCAAAAAATACAGACAGTATTAGAAAAGATTAATAAGTACACTAACCTTTCCGGGTTCCTTGTCGAAATCACATTCCTTGTCGGGCATATAACCATTTGTGGGTGCTGCGAATACTAACTGGAGGTTGGTGCCTGTCGCAGCAAACGCTATCTCGGTGTGACCTTCCCTACAGGCATTTTGGAATCGGACCACCCGTTCCTCCTGTGGTCGATCTCTGTAACCCGTGTAGCGCACCTGTAACAAGCAAAAACATCAATCAATATAGTTAAATATTAATAATAATAATAATAATAATAATATTAATAATAATAATAATAATAATAATAATCAACTATGATTGATTCTTTTTTTTTTTCTTAATTTTTTTTTAATCACAGCTATGGAAGAATTCTTTCTCAAATCTGTTTCTGAATGAATTCAATGATAGGGAGAAATTCGGTATATCCAAATCAGATTACAGTCGCAATCTGATAGGAAAAATATGACTTATAGATTTTTGTTATGCGAAGGTTTATGAGGTTTAAATTGTGCGAATATCAGTCCTATATACGTGATTTTTTCTAAGTTACGCAAATGCATTAGCATCCTGCGATTCCTGCGTCCTTATACGAGGACATATCATATATTTTTCAACAATTTTATACAGAAAAGTCATGGAACTATCCATTCTCAAAGTGGTCCAGTATTTCCCAAAAGGAAAAAACAAACAAACTCAAAGTCGGTCGACCACAAAATTTAATATATAACTAAAAATTCCAAAAACAGGTCGTTAATAGAAAAATCAGTCCGGTAAGAGACTAAGGTGGATTTATGCACAACGCTTTTTCATTTATCTGTTGCTTTCATTAATTGTCATTAAGTTTATTTTTATTTAAGGACTATGATACCTTTATGCACCACCACTTTTAAATTTTGAAGTCTTCTTCTTGGTCAAAACATAGTCGTCATCGTACATAGCCCGATGAAAATATTTGTGTTAGAACATTCAGTGATCACATGATTACAATAAAAATCAATCATTCATATTGTTTTCAAAGTCTAATTTGAACATACGACTAGAATTTTCAGAATTTTCAAACACATTTTGGCAAAAGAAGAGGAAGAAATTGTTTGTCTGACTTCTGACAGAATCGCGCCTGCGCAAGTCACAGTTTTATTTGTATTTGTCGTTAAGAGATAAAAGTTGGTCATCTTTTAGCGAATAGTTAATGAAAGATTAATGACAAATTTGATGTATAAATGGTTATATTGTTAACCAATGTTTCAACAAGTTAGTGAAAACGTTGATGATTATGAAATGAAAGAGTAACGAAAAAGCGTCGTGCATAAATCCAGCTTAAATGACTTGAAACGATCAAGGAAACGACTGAAACGCCAAAAGAATTCAACTAGTAGCAAGTCCAACATCGGTAAATGAATTAAACCGGAATTAATAAAAATTCACTCAAAGAGCTATACCTCCATTCGAGACAAGTAATGTTGATTCATTTGACATTTGACATGACAATGTTGACAATTTTGAAGTCAGAATGAAAACCAAATATAAAAAACGAGTACACTGAGAGAACAGTTTATTAACAATAAAGAAATTTTATTTATTGTTAACGAATGACGTTGTTGAATATGGACTAACTAACATGATTTGATCACAAACTAATGGTATTTTAAAATATTACAAACGAATATACAGGTTAATATTAAGTTATAATAATCTTGATCTCATGAAACATATATTAAATATTAACAAATATCACTTTGTGGACACTATACCCCATTTTGCATTAAAATAGATTCGTTTATAATAATGTAACGTTACTTTAAATTCAATTAACGTTTTCTTAATGCAATCGACTGTCACTTATATGTTAAGTTATCTATATTAAAACTTAATACACTCTGTTTCAATTTTAGCTTTTCCAGTGTTGTACAGAAAGGAGGCATTGTTTCAATAAAAAAGCATTACTTATAGCATAAGGAATCATTTTGTTATTGATAAGTTATGCTTCGTCAATATATAATATATTGTTTGGTTATTGATAGTTAATATTTTGAGTCGATGATCGATTGTTCTAATTGTTTTTTCCTAACAGAAAGAATAAAGAGTCTCGAGAACAAATTTATTTAAGCAAAAGTGTATAGTTACATCACATATATTTTGATATCAAAATATCTGAATAGAAAGAGCTATAAAATCAGCCCAGAAATCCAGGTGTATCGAGCATCCACTATAATGATTTGAATGATCTGTAACATAAAAATAAACAAGTTCTTGATAGAGATAATATATCTTGTCCCATTTAATAATCGGTACGGTATTTTTTCATCTCTTGGAGCGCACGAAAGGATGTTGAAATTGCATTTAATCATTCAAAATGATTGTAAAGTATAAGAAAATAAGAAACTATCAGGTTTTCCAAGGTCAACGATGTTCATTAGGTCGAAAAGTCATGATTTTTCATCTGATGGACGGATTAAAATGGATGAGATACAAAAATTTTGGCATGTTTATGGATATCTCAACAGTTGTCGAATACTGATTGACAATAACACAGGCATGTTAACTATCAACAAATATTGGTTACTATCTAATTAATTTCATATTCGAGCCTTGTTTCTTCAATCAAGGATTTTGTGGATTTGCATCCATTCTTATAAATCTATTCACTTTTATGAATTTGCACTTGTCATATCTCCTCACAATTGATCTGTACAATAATCATCCTATGTACAGAAAGATCAACCATTTTACCTTGCGGAATCTTCCAACAAAATTTCCTAGACCCCACCCTCTCAGTGTTTCCTCCATCTTGGAAGTCAATAGAACAAGCTTCAGAGAAAATGTAACAGCATGCCTAATAGTTATTAAATTGGTAAGAATTAGAGTCAGACGATGAGAAATATATAGGAATTCAATTAATAATAACACTTGATGGAGAAGTAAATGCTAGTATGATTTATTCACCATGCAGACTCGCTATTGTGTCTTAGAAATAGAAAACAATATGATAAAAACTCACCAGCCACCTCGCCAGCCACTTCGTGTAATACCTATGCTCCAGCACAAACTGATGAAACCCAAATTCACATTCAACAGTGCACACCACAATTTTTAGTGTTAGCAATTGATATTTGATTATTAGGCCACTCCAAGCGTCCTTTGCAGTCTAACATGTTGACTCCGACTACCTACTGCATTCCAACCTCGAGCATGCGCCGAAGAGAATATCACTACGTCATGGGAAGGTCAATAATTGTATTACGAATAATTTGTTTCTCTCAAGAACAATTTCTTATTATCTAAGCAATTAAACTGTGGAGAGAATTTGTTACCAGTTAATAAATGGTAATTCAAGAGTAAGATTCCATAAAGTTAGGATATAACGAACAGGTTTGTGACAAACTCATGGAAGTCACTCCTAAAAACATATGTTAATATTGAAAGAATCAGCTTCTAACGAATCCTTTGTTTTCGGTAAACGATTCTTTTACAAATTACATGGTAGTATTTAATAAGGTAAATTGATGACAAGAAGATGGCGTTAATATTCAACGAAGCATACTCAAACAAATCAATTTATTTATCATAACAAAACCTTTCCCTCAGTGTAGAATCAAAACAAACAGTAGACAATACTTACTCCAAATTGAGTTCTTTTGGCTTTTTAGTCGTTTCAAAGTCATTCAGTCTCAAACCGGACTGTTTTTTCTGTATACGACCTGTCTTAAAAATTTCTTTCTCAAAAGTTATTTATAGTTATTACTTCAAAAGAGGTATGTACTTTCTCAGCGGACATATTGTCTTAGATTTGAGATCTTTTTAATTTCCACCTTACTATGATGGAGATTTTACCGAAACTAGTCACACGTACATGAGTGTTTTATATTGAATTCTGAGTTCGACAGACTTTGAGTTTGTTTCTTTTTCTCCTTTTTAATTATATACAGCGTTATATGATGCAGATAGGTAGATGACAGATCTATATGATGCAGACAGGTTACTATATATTGGTAGGTAACTTTTACAAATATACAATATAATTTGATCTTGTTGGCAACCGGACATCTGAAAACATCCACACATTAATTATACGTAGATAGTCTTTCAGAAAAGCTAAAAAGCTACAGGAGCGACTCAAGTCCCTTCACTTAAGGCGAAGCTTTGGAAGTATATTCCCAAGAACTTATAACCTCCAAAATACTCCAATACCTATACCTCCTCTCCCTATCCTCCTAGGTACGCACGATGTTCCACGAACATTATAGGAATATCCTTTCGTGCGCTCCATGAGATAAAAAATTGAATGAAAAATAAGTTGTGTTGCACACTGTATTCCAAAAATATGTGTGTCAATTATACGATTTTATAATAGTAACTACAGGGTATCTACCTAATAATCAAGTAATCTCATGATTGCTTCAATAATGTCCTGCCATACTTCTTGACCAAAACACACATGACCAAAGTATGCCCGCAGGAGGCCACAAGAACAAATCAAAAACCTCCTATCGTATATACTGATGATGATTATTGACATCCAGAATCATCTATACCCAATCTGCATTGTTATTGAGCATACGAGTAAAGTGCTGATCCCCATCAGAGGGCTCAAAAATAATTATACTTTTGAATAACATCAGTTTGTATTAGGTATTATGAAACTAAGAATCATTTGGCATCCAAATATACCGAAAAATACTTACTCGTCCGTATGTTCTTATCAAAAATCATATAGCTGTTATGAAATTTTCTCCAGGGGGATCGAAAAATAATAAACTCATAAATCGTAATTTTCACGATATATATAATTACGTAGGGTGTTCCGAAATAATAAAGAAATATTCCACCTGCAGATTCTATACCTATATAGGGAAAAATTAGTAAAAAAGCTTATATAAATACGTGATGTGAATCCAGAAATGACCCCTCATGGGATAATTGCATGCCATCGAAAGGCGAGCCCAAGATGAGGTTCTTTTGTAAATATTTTTGAGACTTTTTCTATTAACAAAATAATATTACCGGTTAAGCAGGTCGTTGTCAAGTATTAATTCATTTTCTGGTGCATCTTCATCAAAACAGCATTACCTACCCAATTCTAAAATTATCGTATTCAAGGGTAATTGCGAGGGTAATTGGTTCAAATCATAATAAAATGGATTGTATTCGATTTTCCGAAATTTCTGAAAGCAAACGATGTAACATTTTCCTTTGTCACTGATATTGATGATGATGA